TTAATATAGGATTATCTCTATATAAAAAATATTAATATGAAATTAATTTACATTAAGTCCACTATGGAACCCAAGAATTACAGTACTATTAGAAGTATTTTAAAAAAAGCTCAAGGAGAAAAAATTGCGCCTTATGTTTTTAAGATCAATGACACCCAGACACTCCAAGACTATCTAGATCAAGAAAAAATCACTTATGAAATTTACCATGAGGAAAGGAAAGTCATAGCTAATAAACGAACATTAACACCAACTTATGATGAACCCAGAAAGAAACGAAAATTAGAAACATAAAACAAATAGCTGCTTTCTTGTTACTGTCGGATTATTATTAATATTAATAAAGACGTCAAATCTGGGACGGGTTCTTTGTCAACAATGAGGGACATATTCATCAACTTCTATTTTACCAGCAAACCAATCCAAATGATGACGACGCCTTTGTTCATTTGCATCAAATATCAGACTGTTTGATCGACAAATCAACTGTTTCAAATCTGTAATAGTAACTGTTAATATTAATAATATTATTATACACAATCTGATCGGCACCTGATGAATTATAAAAATAACACGACTTGCACTTATATTTTTAACTCAGAAGAATCAAATCATCGAAAAATGCTTGTTTTCAATTCTTTTGCGGGTTGTTGATCGGAATTATCCTTGATCTCTCGCTCCACTATGAAATGTATAATCAATTTGACAATATGAACGAAAAGCTTGAGATAACAGTTCAAGCAGTTAAATCAAAATGATCGAAGTAAAATCTAAAAGTAAACGTTCATTGGACGACATTATCCGTTCAACATTGACAATTTATGAAAATATTTTAAATCCTTATTCGATACGAAATCTGAGCTGGAATCTGATTTCAATTGATTCTTATAGAGCATATGATCTGTCCTGTTTTTCAGCCAGTAAAAGTTTGCTATGGTCAGGTAATGTAAGTTTTTTTATCGAATCGACAGGACCTTTTTTGTCATCATGCCTCCAAAACGAAACGTCGAAGACGAAAGTGAGGGCGCTCCAGGACGATCCAAACGCCTGCAACTTGCCAGAGACGATTCGGTCCTCGCAGCGGGCGCCAGTAATCTTAGACTCAGTTCCGGTTCTGGTGATAGTTATGACTTGGACAACCTCCCTTCTTCGGCTTCTCTGTTCAAGAACTCCCACATTGAGGTATTGAGAGTGAGAGTCAACCCAGCATCTGCTGAGAGCGATGTTATACCAACAGTTGAAGGTGCGAGCTGTTTTTATCGGTTGTTCTCTCAGCGAACATAAACTAAATAATTTTCAGACACAAGTATTCCAGAAGAATATATTTTTCCCAGTATCAACCGTGAAATGCTCGAACATCCGAGATTCAATGTTAAGAATATTGGTGGGGATAAGAACGTTCGCACATTCTTTGCGAACTTGCATGATGTCGTGCAGAATGGCATGCAGGTGGTGGGTACCGACGAAACTTTCACTGATACGCTTGTGGACGGTCTACTGCGCATCGCTGAGCTGGATGGCTGGCCATTAAGGATCAGGTCAGTATCTGAGTTTGTGTCCTGTTTTGACAAATAGACGAATGCAATGGTTCTAAAGTTACATTTTTAAAATCCAGAAATCATCCCTTCTGCATATTAGATGTTGCAGATTCCCATGTATCGTCAGACCCTGAATTTGTAGTAAGGAAAAGAAACATCTTTGTCGTGGTGGCAGAGGTATGTGGGTCGTGGCCGTTTGAACAAGTTATTTTCGTCGTCTCAAGCAACTTTCTTACAGGACAAACATTTGAGAAACGTCAGACCAAACAATGGATTTGGAGAATCCCAGATCAGTGCGGAGATTCTCGCTTGTGCAAATGAAAATATACGTAATGAGGGATATCGATATTGTGATCAGACGTTACGGGCCATTCGCACAATTTCTCATTATGTTACGTTTTATAAGGCCGATATTCCTGCCGCGTATTGGAGAGAACTTGAAGATGGCGTGCCACAAAGTCAGTCTGTTGAGGTTCAAAGATGGCCGCGTGAGAATACTTTGTCGTCCGGTTTCGATCTCGCTCAACCGGCCGGA